TCTTGTTAATATATATAATTCTGTTGCTTCCAGATTCCTAAAAATGCAAATGGGAAGGGGGTAGTTTTAAGACAGGAACCAATTATCAACAAGTCATCAACAACATATAGGAAAAATCTTTAGCAGACATGTTTTGCTTACTTACTTATATTGTATTATATTAGGGACAAAGTTTTACAACTGATGTATGGGTAATTGACTTTGGCTTTCTTTTGGCTATGTTTGGTGTTCTGTAAAAGCTGTGAGAGAAGTTGTCATTATTTTTAAACAGACAAATCCAAGAGCTTTTTAATCACTTGTACTAGTTTTGCCCTAACTATCACAAATCTTTATAATTACAGTTACCTGTCAAGAAACACACACCAAAATTGCAAAACCTCAAGTTTTGGAAATGAGCAGTGACTGGAAGAATGATACAGGAGGTGACTAACTTACATATATATTTCAATAATATAACTGCATTTCTTGAGTGCATTTGCAGATTCTTGTTTGCTTTACTTCAGAGACATCCACAGTCTGGGCGGTCTGGTAGAATAAGAAACATCATCACATGTATAGATTCTGCTTATGATAGTTGAAGGTTTTGAGACTAGTGTATTGGGTTTGTTTATTTGTTTATTTATTTTTTTTTTTCCACAAATCTTTATAATAACAGTTACCCATCAAGAGACAATCATCAAAACTGCAAGACCTCAAGCTTTGAAAACAAGCGGTGACTGGGAGAATGATAAAGGAGGTGACTAATGCACCTGTATTTTTCAATAATATACCTGCATTTCTTGAGTGCATTTGCTGATTCTTGTTGGCTTAATTACATAGAAGACCACTTTCCTGGTTCCCTTATATAGTTTTATTAAATAAAAAACATCATTTCATGTACAGTTTGTACTTACAATAGTGAAAGGTTTTGAGAGTAGTGTGTTAGGTTTGTTTGTTAATTTTTTTTCTCTCAAAGTAATCCAACAACCTAAGGGGTATTATTGTTATATTATTGTCTACTAGCTCAACTCTTTCTAACACTTTTGAATTTAAAATCCAGATGCATCTGCACCAACAGTTAGCAATAAAAAAGGGAAGGCTAGTGAACCAAAACACGGCAAAAAGAAGAGTAAGTAATAGAACATCTATTAAGTAAGGGAAGGACAAAATTCGTCAAATTATGGCTATTCTGTTGAATATCAAGAAAGTAAAAATATCGTGACTTACTGGCTTGTTTGATTATATATTATCCCTGAGAGATAACTTGGCTCTGACGACCAGCTAATCGGAGATCTCGTGAGTAGATAGGCCATAAAGCTGGTTGATTCCATTTGTTATATTGTGGGAAAGGAGTATGGAGTGTTCTCGTTGGAGCTTGAGTTTACCAGTAATTTTGGGGCTAGATTGTCAGACAAATGATTCATAGTCTTTTTATAGTTAAACAGGGCACACCAAAGATGGCTGAGTTAGAAGGATTGGGTATAGATATTGGTGACAAGTGGAAAACTCTGGGAAGACGCTTAAAAGT